TGTATATTGATTGTACTCTCTAGTCCATTTAAAAACGTAAAAAGTGCTTCCATTATCGTACCATTTTCTTCTCTGTAAAAACCTGATGTAGTCATCTTCATTCTTGAAAGTAAACAGTATGTCCCTTGAGTTGATTCTTCTAATCTTGAAATTGCTGAAACCCACCCTTAGCATGAATGCCTTTAATGTTGATAAGTGCTGCTCCTTATTGAACCTTCCAACTGCTGAGAAGTTCATTTTGCTCTCCAGTATTTCCTCTTCTTCTACCGTAAAGCTGATTGAAGGGGTTCCATTATAGAACCCTTCCCTTCTACCCAGCTCTTTGACTGAATTTTGAGCAAAAAGTTGAGAAAATAGTTTGATAAACTGTGAAGGATTTTTCTTGGTTCCCTTTTCCGGTAGATATGCCGGAGAATTGGCCGGAATTCTCTCCCTTCTCTCTAGAACCATTTTTTTATCATATATATATATATATATACACACACACACACACACACACACATATATATATTGAAAAATGGCTATATAATTTTGGAAACTTATATCTCATTAAAAGGTAAGTTTATTTTTCTAAATATTAAATTTTATAATTTAATTATTTTTGAAAAAATATTTAAAATTGTTTTTGCAATTATTGAGATATAATTAATATATTTGGGAAATAAATATTTATAAAATCTGGAAATTTATTTTTCAGAGTTAGAAATGTCTAAGATAGTTACTGGAAGTTGAAAATAAATTTTCATCATTTTTGAATATTCATTTCTAATTGAAATGAATTTTTCAAAATAAAATTGGCAAAGGGGCATTTATGTAATTATGTATCTACTGGAATCTTTTTTCCCAGTTTGAACCTGTCCGAAAGTCACCTAATGTATTTAGGATTACTTGGTAAAATTTCATAATATTTGGACCACTTTATGAATTTTTATGAATTTTAGAAAATATTACCAACGTAGTATTCTAGAATTGTCTGGGGCGAGCGCGGTTCGCCCGGTGTATGTATATGTCTATTCCCTGTGTAGATGTATGATATGCATGGTGGATGATTGTGGCTATAGTTTATTTGATTATAATATGGCCTGCGTGTCGTGCCTTATCTCTTAAACTCTCGTTGTAAATCTATTTCTCTCTTTTACCTCAACTGAGAATTCTTTTCTCACGTGGCTATTAGAAGATAAAAGATTTGAAGTCCGTTCGAGGGAACATAAAGGAATGGAGATAGCCCGAAGTCCAAGTACCTGGAAGTCAGTGGGAGCTATCATTTTATTTTTCCTTTAGGGGCCACAATCATTTTTTTGCACAGAAATACTATCTTTTATATCACTCCAATCAAACTTTTTACAAACACTAATCAAATACCTTTCTAGTCTACTACTTTTTGCAACATAACAGTTTGTAAAGTAAAGTTAATACTAGCTAACATCTCTTCTTCATTTCTTTTTGATGAATTTTAGCATTTCGGGCTTGCCATACAATGTAACAGACAGCCCTCCAAGCTGCCATGGCTATCTCTCTTCATGTACAGGGGCCACAATCATTACACGTTTATTTACTGCGTATTTTGAATACATGCGAATGTATGTTTAATGCTAGTAAACTGACATGTACGCGGAATGTGTCGTAGGTGAGATCGTAATATTTAAAATCCCTCAAAATATTAAGTCTGTATTGCCTTCCGGTGCCCAGCACCTTTCCGGCTAATGTGTAGTACGGTGTATGTTATGTTATGTTATGTTGGTCACGGGAATCACTAAAGTGGTTATTGTCAGACGTTGGGTTAGACTTAACTAAGTCTCGGTAAAATGCATGGATGACTCAGAGGCGGTTTTTTGTTGGGGTCACTATACTGACAAGTCGAATTACTTTACTCACTCATCCAGCTAAAAGTTGGGTCTCTATGACTTAATTGGGCTTTGCCTTAACTAAAGTAATTGCGCATGTGGTACGTGCCAAAGCCAATCACGGCCCATTAAGAGAATCTCTAGGAGAATCTCCGAATCAACATTGAGGGTTGTTGGTTTGTTAAAATAGTGGGAAATAATTAATTAAAAGGCCTAGTTAAGTATTCAACATGATAGATAACCTAGTTTGCAATTTCATTGTGTAGATGGCATCAAATAACACGAATAGTCATTTCATCAATCTGCGATATATCCTCGAGACCCAAAAACTCTTTGGGGAAAACTTTCTTGATTGGGAGAAGAACCTCCGAATCGTTCTTGACTGTGAGAGGAAACTCTACATCCTCGAAACGGATCCTCCCAAGACCCCTGAGGTAAATGCTCGTGCGTCCGAACTCACTTCTTTCAAGAAGTATGAGGACGACGCGCGAGATGTTAAGTGTATCATTATGGCCAGTATGACTGCGAAACTCCAAAGGCTCCACGCGGAAATGCAAGCGCGTCCTATGATACAACACTT